ATGTGAAGCACCAGAAAATAAATAAAGTCATACGCAGCTGTCATCCGTACGCAAGGAAGTAAGCACAAGATGCCGAAAACCCTTAGCAGGATGCAGCGCACCCTTCATGCGACTCGCCGAATATCTCACGGCGCTTCGCGCTTGGTGATGTGAGAGCCTGGTCCGGTGAGACTCCGGCGTGGTCCGTCCCGGCTTTGTAGGGGTGCGAGGTCAATGGTCTAACGACTACGGCATGCACGACTATGAGTACCCCCCCTCTCCCTCCCGCCCTGGGCCCGCTGTCATCTTTCGCGTTTTGGAGCCCTCCCCTCCTCCCCACTTCCCCCAGCTGAGCGGTCCTTCCCGCTAACGACGCCATACGTGCCCGTTGGTGCACCCCGATTAGTTCGTCAATCGCTCGCTTGGTGTGGCCAAACGATGCTGTCTCAATTCGCGGGATGTCCCTCTGGGCGAAGTCACCGATGGGGGGTAAGTGAGGAAATCGCACCGCAACTTCCGAAACCTGGCTCGTGGCCGCCGCTATGTTGGCGAGATCGCGGTCGACCACGTTTACGATAGAACCTCCAACGCCGTACGCAAATTGTAAAATATTGAGGTAGGGGACATCAGCTTAGGCTCAACCGCGGCCCTCATGCTCCACAGCGGCCCCCGAGAGCGAAGCCGTTGGATTGGGCCTACTCTCACATCGACACGATAACGTCACGCTGCGGCTCGCGCGGCAAGGGGCGCCGGTGGGAATCCGCCGGACGCTCTCTCTCTGCTACTTGCCGCCTCCGTTGGCACCTCAGACCTCCTCAAGTGAGACTGTTCAATAATAGCGAATGGATTAGGCGAACCTTTCTATTGACATATTTTTCTGCACTCGATAGTTCTCTCAAAACTACAAACAGTGGCAACATATGCAAGACGAAAAAACACGCAAGCACTTCCTTCACCATCGTGAAGCGACCAAAGCGGGGCGTACATTCCCAGCTGTGAAGAAATGGCAACTTGCGGGATGTCCCGAGACCTATCTGACCCTCTCGCAACTTGGAACATAGAGGTAGTAAGGAACACTTTTCAAGCTCAAGCTCAGCCCTCAGGGCTCAGAGAAACGCGTGAGAGCCAAGCGGCGGGAGTAGGTCTGCTATCAAATCGACACGATATGTCACATTCGGCTCGCGCCGCAGAGGGAACTGCTCGGCTTCCGTTTCCGCGGGACCCGCGGGATGCCCTCAGTCAGCGAGACGCCGCCGCCGGCGGAACAGCCCTAAACCGCGTGATCGCACCTGCATCGCACCTCTGACCCCTGTTACCGTAAGAGTCGGAGAGTTCGCACGGGCCGGAGAGATGGCACCGGTCAGAGAGATGACACCGGGGAGCGAAGAAAAAAACCGAAAGGAAAGCATTTAATTCGATTTACGCACCGGGGTCGGTGAGATCGCACCCGATGCGATCTCTCCGACCCCCAAATCCAAGATTGGACTCCTTTTCAGCTGCTGGAATGAGGTACATGTGCGTACCTTCTACGCGTGGGGACGGAGCCAGCGGATGGCCACTCCTTGACGTACGATTGGATGATCGCGGTTCACGCGGGATGCCAGTTTTTTCATATTTTTATTGGTATGGAAGTTTCAAACCGTACACACACTCAACTAAACACACAACGTACAAGCCGCACCCTACCCCACCTTGCACAACCGAAAGCTGTTGTACTTCTTCGTACGTACTGGTATCCGTAGTAGCAGACCTAAACGAAAGCGG